ATACGGAGCTTTCCATTTCCATATGCTAGCAAACGGCCCACCTCTCTCGCCTATGAAATTGACCCGCGAGCAATCGTCCATTTTCTTCGCCGGCCGCGGCGAGCCGTATGTCCTGCCCTTCGCGTCGCGCGCTCTAATTTATCCAACTATTTTTATTAATATCTCGAAATTTTACGTGGTTGTTTGAAAAATGACCTCTACAATTTTTGTTCAGTTTTATCTGTTCTACTTATATTTTTCTTTTGGCATGTCTTATGCGGGACACCCTGTATATTGCTGAAATGTTATATAGCTGGAATATAAGTTATTATTTCCCAGCAATTATAACCCACACAGCACGTAATATCGCAGAAATATTGCAGTGATATCGCAATATAGTGGTAATATTTCATATCACAGTGAAATATTATAAAAATATTACTGAAATATTGCACCTTTACATATGTTATTGAAATATTACAGAAATATTACTGCAGTATTACATACGTATATAATTGAAATATTACACTTATATATTTGCAATATTATAGTTAAATTATAGCAATATATTATATTCTAAATAGAATGGTGACATCAATTGACATATCAATTTCTTTGACATTATAGACATCATTAAAACGTTATTACGGCGTCATTTAAAGTCACCTTCCCTTACAGAAATAATATTTTTTAAAAGTTTCTTTTAAAATTTAATATTTCGATTTGTTTAATTTGGATTTTCTTGGATTTTTAAATTTTTTTTTGTTTGGATTAATCATTATAACGTTTTGTTAAAAATCTAAAAATAATTATCACTGGTTCACTACATTACATCAATATTTATCGCATATCGAATGTTGTTGCATTGTTTCAATATCTATCAGCAAATTATCCAACAAACACTAAGTAAAAATTATATAACTATTATTTGATGTTTGCTAAGTATATTATAATGTACTATGAACACTATAAGGATACATTATATAAACATGAATTGTAAGAACATCGTTGGAGTCATCATAGTCACCGCGTGCGCGCTTGTTGATCGTCAGATTAAGCAATAGTTTAATGCGGTCAGGACATGAATGGGTGACCAGAGGTACTGCTTGGGATCGTAATTATCGCTGGAGGATTTCACGAAAGTTTGGAGTGTATTTGACAACCTTCGATACGTAGTAGTTTATGAAACATGAGAAAAGTAGGAATATATAAGTATATTTTTTTTAAATATTATGATTTTCTCACAGTAATATCATTGTGATTTTCACCATTATATAACTGTGATGCATTTGCCGCGGACATTTTAGTATTACTGTGATATCTTAGTAATATTCCAGCATTATTTCTGTTATATTCCCTGGTAATATTGCAATGAAAATATAATATTGCTGTGATATTTCTGCGATATTACGTGAAAAGCATTTAATTGTACACAGAGATTACAAGCTATCACTTAAATATCAATTAATTTGTAAAAGTATGCTCCTAAAAGTATTATAATTATATATTTTATATCAAAAATATTTTTAGTAAAGATAATAGCATAAAAGTATCTTGCCATTCTAAATTAATTAGCTCCCAAATAACACAAGATATTCCAGAATCGTCCTAGAGCCATTCTAGGCTCTAGGATGATAAATTCAACTAATAAAGAAGAAAATTTATTCCGTTATATTTCAAACATATTTATTTGGATTTGTTTTGATTTAATGAAATGTAGAAATTTATGCACTCGAGATTTATGTTAAGTTGACTGAAATGTATAAATGTGTGCACATGATCCATAATGTGTCAATTAATTCATTTCTCCAATTTTTTATTCAGTCCACTGGTATCGAACAGAAGATGTTGAATTCCCAAAACGAGTGTTATAAACTGTTAAATTCTGCGCGGCTCACCTTGGACAAAACAAAAGGACAGCCTGAGGACGACTTACGAAGTGCGACGAACAATGCAGCCCTTATTGACAAACAGAACAAACGCAATAAGGAGCTGCTGGATTATATTCATAAGTATAATTTTCTTCTAAAATATTTTATCGTTATAAATAAATTACAACAAAAACCTCAGCTAAAAGATATTTAAAAAAATATTATTAAAACAACCTTATTCAGATCAATTGTACTCTCGCGAATATTCTATTGAAAAATACAAGACAATTTTATATTCTCTATAAAAATAATGATATCAAGAGGTTTACGCCAAGTGCGAATGATGAATCATTTCAGTTTTTACTTTTATAAGATTGTTTAATAATATTTTTTAAAATATCTTTTAGCTGAGCTTTTGTTGTAATTTATAACGATTTTTTTTTGTAAAAACAAATAATGCTAAAGCGCGTGCACTTGGCTTCTTTTTTTTGAAAAAGTAATTTTGTTTTTATATCAATCTTTTTTTACAAAATAATATTAAATACTGAAGACAAGTTTCTTTGTTAATAACTTTATATGTTAAATATTGTAAATATTTATTTAGGTATACAGGAAAATCAAGTTTTTTATATTTTATTTCAGAATAATTCATTTTTATAAAAAATGTCTCTCTCTCTCTCTCTCTCTCTTATTACTTATTTTTTATATATTTATTTATTTATTTATTATTTTATTATTTTATTTTGTATTTTTTTATTTACGTTATCATATTTAATTTTATTATATTCTATTATTTATTTATTTATTATTTTATTATTTATATTCCGACATCTATACAACCTATGTAATTTAATAAATTACGAGTCAGTAAATTAGTAATCATAATATATATCTTCTTTTTTCTTTTTCAGTTTTTTATTCTCACCGTATTTATTTTTTTTACTGTTTTTCTTCTAATAGTTCAATATTTACTGCATTTAGCTCTCATTCTCTGTTTCTCTCCCTCCTTCTCCTCCTCCTTCCTCTCCCTCTCCCTCCTCCCTCTCTTTCTCACACAGACTCTCCCTTTCTCTTTTTACGACACTGTCTCTTCCTTTCTGTCTAATAATGAAATGTAACGGTAACAACGTACTTTTTTATAAATAACGAGTAATAATAATGAATTACTTTTAAAAAGTAATCTTTCCTATTTTACTATCTTGCATCTCTCTATATCTTTTTGCTTCATTTCTGTTTTCTGTTACATATCTGTACTATCTTCTCTCCTTATATTTTCTCCTTTTTCTTCTCGCTTTCTGTACTTTTTTTTCTTTCTTCTTGCCTTGTTTAAAAATAATAAAAATACAAGCAACATAAAGAGTATCCTAGTTCTATATCCTTATAAATTATCCTATATTATGTAAAGCAATATTTATTTATTATCACGGCAGACCAAAAAAATTTATTTATTTATTTATTTATTATCTATCCTTTTATTTATTTATTCTCTTACTCACTCACTATATTTCCTTTGTTTTTCTATCTCGCTCTCTTACCATTTTTTTACCGTCTTATTATTTATCTTCATTTTTATCTCCTCTTCATTTCTTCTCGTACATCCTCTCCTTTCTCTCTTTCTTTTCTTTTCCTTTTTTTTTTATCTTCTTATTATTTAATTTAGCTATAAAAAATAAAAACGACACAAAGTATTCAAGTTTTACATCGTTATATATTTTTATGCCATAACTTTTCTTCAAAATTACCATGGCAAACAGTTTTATTAAGTAATGTAAACCCAAGGAATCGATTAGGTCCCTCCAGAACTTCGTCAATTCAGCCGTTATAGCCGAAACAAGAATCTACATTCAACTAAAGCCGTCGCGTAATTATGGTAGGCCGCGTTGCTTCACACTTGCACTTGGTTTCGCGACACTATTGTGTCACTTGATAAGAAAATTATAACTTTTATTTTTACTTTTCCTTTCTCTTCCCCTCGCCTCCCCCTCCTTCCTCTCTCTCTCTCTCTCTCTTTCTCTGTTTCTGTCTTTGTCTTTGACATTTTATGTTTGTTCTTTCAGTTATATTTCTAATGAAATATAATATGTGCTAAATATATACAAATTACAGAACACTCACCAATATTCCTTCACAATCATCCACTGTCGCACATGACGCTATGAATCAGGCGATGAATGTTGAGCGCAATATACAGAGCGCCATAAACGATATGAACGGCATCGTAGATCGGATTCCGGAAGATTTGCGGGAAGCGAAGCAGCTGTCGAAGGATACATCGGAATCATTTCGTGATATCTCACAGGCAAATAAGCAACTTGATATCGTGGACAAAGTGGTGCCTAACATCACCAACCTATTAAATAGCTTGAACGACAACCAGATATCGATAAACACTACTGGTAAAGATTTGCAGAGCAAGATTGAAGCCCTGAAGAACAAAATCACAAATGCCCGGGAACTGGCTGACCGATTCAGATATGGCTTGACCTTCTATAGAAACACCACTCTAGAGCTCAAGAATCCGGAAAGTCTATCGTTGCTGGCCACCTCCACTAAGGTTTCCCTCTACTTTAGAACCAACAAAACAAACGGTTTTCTACTATACCTTGGCAACGAGGACAAGACGAATTTACTACGCTCTAAAATGGTGAATTTTCTAAAATCAATGGAGATAATTTTGAAAGGGAAGGCATGAATAAGGAAATTTATTAATTTTATATTTTGCAGCATGATTTCATGGCATTAATGATTGAGAGCGGATATCCAGTACTTATAATCGATCTGGGATCCGGATACGAGAGGATAATTCATAACAAATTCGTATCAGATAATGTATGGCGGCAGATAATCATTCACAGGTTAGTATTTAATAACTCTAATCTATTTTCCCAAATAGACATATTTCGGTGTATTTTTTGCTTTTTGTAGTTAGCACAAATATGCAAAGATGTCTTCGTACAACAAGAACTTTATCAATATACAAGATGTCTCAGACTCTCCTTCGCATTTTTCGTAGAAAATGTAGAACGTGTGAACATAAAAGTCCTATATCGTTTTGCGATATTCGCAGTAATAACCGAGAAATTAATTGTAAAAGATTAAAGAAAAGAGCGTTCGAACCGCAGCACGGATCCAGCGAAAAATAACTCATCGTTTTGCCGTCAATCGATGAACTATTTTTAGCTGGGAATACCGGCGCATGACGATTGGAAGAACAACGCACCACTGCTTGTGCTTATATCGCTGCGTTCCTACGTCTTGCCGCATCGTACCGCAGCGAGATGTAGGAATGCAGTGATATAAGTATAGGCAGTGGTGCATTGTTTTTCCAGTCACCATGCGTCGACATCCCGCGCTATATTACTAGGCCGTGAGCGCTTCTCCCTCAACCATTCAGCGTGCATTTTTCCTTAATTTTTTTACAATTAATTTCTCGGTTATTATTGTAAATATCGCAAAACGGTATAAAACTTTTATGTTCACCTCAACCTTTCTACGTTCTACGAAAAATGCGGAGGAGAGTTTGAGACATCCTGTATAAAAGAAATCATCTGAAATACGAAAGTTGTGACAGTATACTGATACCATAGAAATGCTGCATATTTTGCCAAAAAAAGAACGCAATTAATCCGAAATTATTGTAATAATAAATAAATATTTTAATCAAAATTATAATAAATGAACATTTTTTAAAACAAGTATATTTTAAACACGTTATGTTGCAATGACAGCACAAAATATACATTAAATGTTTACATGTTATATTGTATTCAGCATTTCTGTCTATCTGAGTTGTGTGTGTGGGTGTGGTATAATTTTATACTCCACGAATACATTCTCTTTAGGACGGGTAAACACGTGAAGTTGATAGTTCGCGAGGACATCGGAGAAGGTCGAGATAAATCGTATGAAAAGGCGCTTGTCTTGACAGGCCCTTATTATGTTTTCAATGTTGACCGGGAACACTCGAAACTTTTTGTGGGCGGTTACCCATCATCGTTCCATATTCAAGATGCTGTAACCGCATCATCGTTCGAGGGTGAAATGGAGGAGCTGGTGATAGGTGATATACCGGTGTCCTTCTGGAATTTTGTTTATGGCGAGAACAATCAAAAGAGTGCGCTTGAGCGCGACAAGCTCGTCAACTTCCAACCGAGCACGGGATATCGTTTTGATCGGCACGGCTATGCAATTCTTAGCAAAAAAGATTCACAAATTAATCTAGATCCCAGAAGATTCAGTATCAAGTTGATCTTCAAGACTTTCGCTGAAGACGGGCTGATTTATTTGATGGGCAAAGGCAGGCAATTCTTGTCGCTGGAAATGAAGAACGGTCGCCTGTTGTATCAATACGATCTTGGTGAGGGTGCAATCGCCTTGGAATCTTTGGACAAGTACAATGACGGTGACAAGCATATTTTGGAGGCTCTCAGACTCGACAGAAGCGGTGTGCTCAAGGTAGACGGCCACAAAGTGGGTAATATTGAAGCGGTCGGAACTGCTAGGGCTTTATCATCTACAGACCATATCTACTTCGGTGGATATCCACCCAACGTAAAACATCCTTACCAGTCAGTCACTAGCAATGGTTTCGAGGGTTGCATCGATAACGTTGTCATTCTCGATACTTCGATCGATCTCACTCGCAATGTGCAGGCATTCGGAGTCATTCCTGGTTGTCCAGTCAGGGTAATAAAGCAATAAAATTACGTAGAATAGAATATATAATCGTAGATATAAAAATTTCAAGTTTACAAGTAAATATTCTAGCAAACACAGAATATAACTATTATATAACATCGAAGTAACATGTAATAATGTGTTACTAAAATATAACGAATGTTGTATTCTAGTTATATCGAGATTATCCCAAACCACCTTCACAATCTCTCGTGACGACGTAGAACGGATTGAGATAAACACAAAAATCCCATACCGTTTTGCGATATTCTCAATAGTTCTCGAAAAATTAATTTTAGAAAATTACATGAAGAAAGGAAGAGCACTCGAGCCGCTCAAGTCGCCCGAGACTTAGCACGTTTTAGTTGGTCAAGAAACAGTAAGCACCGCGTCGAGGCAAGACATAGTAGCGCAATAATATAAGCACAGACATTGGCGCGATGTTCTTCCATTCATCACGTGCTAGCATCCACGTGCTATATTATTGGGTTTGCGCTGCGACTCGAACGCTTCTCCTCCAACTATTCAACACGCGTTTTTCCTTAATCTTTTGCAATTAATTTCTTAATTATTATTGCAAATATCGCAAAATGGATGGACTTTTGTTTTTCATCTCAATCCGCTCTACATCCTCACGAGAGATTGTGAAAGTGATCTGGGACACGCTGTATAACTTGGTTTCATAATTGTAATATAATTGTGTTTTTATATCCGTTACACATTGTTTTGTAAGATGAGGATAAAATAACAGTAATACAATTGGAATGTAACACGTTATACAACAGAAGTTATGTCCACTTTACATTGGTGTTATATAACACCATTTATTAATCGATTTAGTTCATTAGACTACTATTCGAAATTATTTTTATATTCAAGGCGATTTCCAGGATCTACGCCTACTACTTCCCCTTACCATACGACGGGTCAAGCAGCTGACGATTGCGGCTCTCCGCTTCAAAGCTAACATTATGAGGTGCCTACCAAAGATACGTTCGGAGAGTGAAATTAACGCTAACGCGTCATTCAATTCTTGTTGTACATCTAATGAGCGATAAAAATAGAGTAACATTTTGGCATTGATAGTGTACTCCTTGAACGCATGTCAATGGCTGAAAAAAATGTATTGAAAACGACTCGATGTATATTTCTTATAAACCTTATATAAAATATACATTGAATTGTTTCGATAAACTTTTTCTGTCATTGAGATGCGTTCGAGGAGCATATTTTTTTTTTTTTTTTTTTTTTTTTTTTTTTTTTTTTTTTTTTTTTTTTTTTTTTTTTTTTTTTTTTTTTTTTTTTTTTTTTTTTTTTTTTTTTTTTTTTTTTTTTTTTTTTTTTTTTTTTTTTTTTTTTTCAGGCAGAGGAAATGCGTTACGCACCCCCCCGGGAAGACGGGACTTTCCCAGGGGTAGTGTGGGACTCTCCCCCTCCGGAACTAATGGCCGGAGAGGGCCTACCCACTAAAACCTCTGCCGGGCTCCTTGCGGCTGTTGCGAGGGCGTCCCGGGAACCGCTTGCGCATTACTTCCGAGACGCCCTCAGCCGCGGGGCGGGGAAAACCTAAACCCCGCCCCCTTCCCGGGCCAGGAGGGATGATTCCCTCCCGGCCCGCTGTTCCTATCCTTCATGACCGGACGTAGGCCCCCCCGTCCGGTCACACCTCACCTGTAGAGGCGCTATTGGCCGGGTCCGGTCCCGTCCGGACCCGGCCCGCCCCTACGCTCCCGACCGAGGTTGCTGGGGCGGAGGGGTCTAAGATTTCCCCTCCGCCCCTCCCGGTCAGGAGCCTCCTGGCACTGGGAGGGGGGTGGGCGGCCTAAGAGTCCGCCCTTGCGAACCGGCCGCCCTGCCCCCCTCCCGGAGGCGCCTGGTCTGACTTCTTGTTACGGGGGGGGTGGGGAGTCGCGCCTTGCAATGCGTCTCCCCCGCCCGACCAGGCGCCTCCTATCTCGCCCGCGCCGGGCCCTCCGTTGATCAGGAGGGCCCGGCGGCATTGTAGGGGGCAGCGGCGCACGCGCAGGTACCCCGGGGGAGGGAACGCCAGCGGTGGCGTCCCCTCCCCGCCCGCGAGTGCGCCGCCCCTCAACCCCGCGCTGATGCGCGGGTAGGCGAGGCGCCGCTCTCCTTCTGCGGCGCCTCACCCCATCCCGGTTTCATCCCGCCGCACCCTCTCCGACTCCTCTTTCTGTGACACGACTGTGACACGACTGTGTCACAGAAGGAGGTGACGGCAGACCAGCCCTCGTCTCCCCCAAGCATGGCCCTAATGAGGGCCGGGGGAGAGAGGTCCGCTCCCACCACATCAATCAGGACTCGGCGCTCCACATCCCAGGAGGGGCATTCCTCCAGGGTGTATTGCGCCGAGTCCACCTCAGCACCACAATGGTGGTAGCGGGAGGTAGGCTCCCTACCAATCCTGTGCAGGTACTCACCGAAGCATCCATGTCCGGTGAGTACGTGCGTCGTCCGGAAGGACAGCTCTCCGCGGGCCCTGTCTACCCATTCTTGTAGACAGGGCCGGATGGCCTCGGCGACCCTCGTTCCTGAGTGGCCCGTCGCCTCCTCCAGGTGGATGCTCCACCTTAGGAGGAGGCGTTGACGGGCCTGCATTTTTGCTATACCTATGGCCCTGGCCAGGTGTTCGAGGTCTCCCCCGGCACGGAGCTCCTTGACACGCCGATAGGTCTCAGCGAGCATTTGTGCAAGGAGCTCCAGCGGGGGGAGACCGGCCAGGGCCGTGGCGGCCGTATGCGACGTCGTCCTATAGGCCCGGGCTAGGCGAATGGCGACCCACCGCTGAGCGCGGTGTGCCAGCGCAATTATGCGCTGATTGGTCGCCATCGCACTCGCCCAGACCGGGGCCCCGTACAGGGCCATTGACTGGACGACGCCGGCATACGGCCGCCGTGCCTTCCTTTTAGGGCCGCCGAGGTTGGGCAGGAGGCCATCCAACATATTGGTTCGAGATGCACATTTTTTTTTTTTTTTTTTTTTTTT